GCCCGCTGCCGCCGTACGCCTGCGTCAACGGGAAACTCCAGTACATCCTGGTCCTGAGCAACCTCCTGACGGGACCCATCCCGCCGTCGTACGCCGAGTGCACGCCGCTGCTCCGGTTCCGGGTGAGCAACAACCACCTGGAGGGCGACGTGCCGCCGGGCATCTTCGGCCTCCCGCACGCCTCCATCGTCGACCTCAACTATAACCACTTCACGGGCCCCGTGGCGGCCACGGTGGCGGGCGCCACGAACCTGACGTCGCTGTTCGCGTCCAACAACCAGATGTCCGGCGTGCTCCCGCCGGAGATCGCCGGCGCGTCGGGGCTGGTGAAGATCGACCTGAGCAACAACCTCATCGCCGGCCCCATCCCGGCGTCCGTGGGCCTGCTGTCGAAGCTGAACCAGCTGTCGCTGCAGGGGAACCGGCTGAACGGGTCCATCCCCGAGACGCTCGCCGGGCTCAAGACCCTGAACGTGCTGAACCTGTCGGACAACGCGCTGTCCGGCGAGATCCCGGAGTCGCTGTGCAAGCTGCTTCCCAACTCGCTGGACTTCTCCAACAACAACCTGTCGGGGCCGGTGCCGCTGCAGCTCATCAAGGAGGGCCTGCTGGAGAGCGTGGCGGGGAACCCGGGGCTGTGCGTCGCGTTCCGGCTGAACCTGACGGACCCGGCGCTGCCGCTGTGCCCGCGGCCGAGCCTGCGGCGCGGGCTGGCCGGGGACGTGTGGGTGGTGGGCGTGTGCGCTCTGGTGTGCGCGGTGGCGATGCTGGCGCTGGCGCGGCGGTGGGTGCTGCGGGCGCGGCGGCTCGCGGAGCAGGACGGGGCGCTGGCGTCGTCGCCGGGGTCCAGCGCGTCGTACGACGTGACGAGCTTCCACAAGCTGACCTTCGACCAGCACGAGATCCTGGAGGCGCTGATTGACAAGAACATCGTGGGCCACGGCGGATCCGGAACCGTGTACAAGATCGAGCTCAGCAGCGGCGAGCTGGTGGCGGTGAAGAAGCTGTGGGTGTCGACGCGGCGGCTGCGGCCGCCGAGCAGGAAGCAGGTAGACTGGGCGGCGGCGGTGGCGATGACCAACACCCCCACCTCCAACAACAGAGACGGCGGGTGGCTCGGCGACCGCGAGCTCCGCACGGAGGTGGAGACGCTGGGCAGCATCCGGCACAAGAACATCGTGAAGCTCTACTGCTGCTACTCCAGCGCCGACTGCAACCTGCTGGTGTACGAGTACATGCCCAACGGCAACCTGTGGGAGGCGCTGCACGGCTGCTACCTGCTGCTGGACTGGCCGACGCGCCACCGCGTGGCGCTCGGCGTCGCGCAGGGGCTCGCCTACCTCCACCACGACCTCCTCTTCCCCATCGTCCACCGCGACATCAAGTCCTCCAACATCCTCCTCGACGCCGACTTCGAGCCCAAGGTCGCCGACTTCGGCATCGCCAAGGTGCTCCAGGCGCGCGGAGGCGCTGACCGCGACGGCTCCACCACCACCATCGCCGGCACCTACGGCTACCTGGCGCCAGGTAGGAAGGATCCATCGGAGTACATGCATGCATGTATGGATGATTTCTTTTCCCTTTTTTTAATTAACATTATTAATCGATATATGGATGCATGGCAGAGTACGCCTACTCGTCCAAGGCGACGACCAAGTGCGACGTGTACAGCTTCGGCGTGGTGCTCATGGAGCTGGCCACGGGGAGGAAGCCCATCGAGCCGGAGTTCGGGGACACGAGGGACATCGTGCACTGGGTCTCCGGCAAGGTGGCCGCCGGCGCCGGAGCCGAGGCGGACGCGCTGGACAAGCGCCTCGCGTGGAGCCCCTACAAGGAGGAGATGGTGCAGGCGCTGCGCGTCGCCGTGCGATGCACCTGCAGCATGCCGGCACTCCGCCCCACCATGGCCGACGTCGTGCAGATGCTCGCCGAGGCCGGGCCACCCGCCGGCCGGACGACAAAGAACGACAAGGACGACAAAGATCATCATCATGCTACTCCTCCTCCTTAGAAGCGAATTGCATCGAAAAAGCAACAACAACGTACGGAGTACACGTGCCATGCCCATGCAAGTGACCGGTCGAGTTAACACATTAGCCGTACTACTAAGCAGCCGATTATATATATCTTTTATATCTACTAATTGATGAGGCGACGGTGATTTACATAAGGGATTCGATCATACAAGCATGCAAGTTGCAAAGATTGTTCGCTCTTGCACTAGAAGAGATATATAAATATATATATATATATGTATGTAGGATAGCTAGCTAGCTAGGCAGCTTTACTGGGTCCTGTGCTTCTCCGGCCTGAAGTAGCCAAGTGCATCGTCGTCACTCATCACCCACTAGGTTACACTGCTTGGTGTTTAAGCAGAATCTGATGCTCTGATGACTGAGTGGACGGGAAAGACAAATATATATCTTATATATACGTATATGATATTTGGATGGAAACAAATATATATTGGTGCGGGTGACATGAATACTAGCTACTTTCACAAACGCGCCAATGGAAGAAAAAGGAAAATGCACATAGCTGCCCTGGAGCAGAACGATCAGATTCTAGATACACCAGAACAGTTGAAGGGACATATTACAGACTATTATAAAAATCTGTTTGGTAAAGCTGAACGGGCATATATTCATCTAGAACCTGACATGTGGGCCGATGACCAGAGGCTATATATCTTCTATAGAAAACGAATGGCTTGTTACACCTTTTAGTTTAGAGGAATTGGATGCTGCTCTCAAGGAAATGAAGAACAACATGGCTCCAGGGCCTGATGGGTTTAGCGTAGAGTTCTTTAAAACTTTCTGGAGCTATATTAGGGAAGATATTAAAGAGATGTTGGATAAGCTACATAGTGGGCACTTAGAGTTGTGGTGGTTAAACTATGGAGTTATCATATTATTACCAAAGGTTAAGCCAGCCACACATATCAAGCAATTTCGACCAATCTGAATGTGATTTATAAAATCATCACCAAGGTTCTCACTATACGACTGACAAAGGTGGTCGACAAGCTTACCAGTCTGTATCAAACTGCTTTCGTTCGTGGGCGTAATATTTTAGAGGGTGCGAATAACTAAAAACCTAGAGTTATTCTGAAACTCGACTTCGAGAAGACGTACGATAAAGTAAGCTGGCCCTTCCTTGAAGAGGTAATGAGGAGAAAAGGCTTTGATGAGTTATGGATCCATTGGATTAATTGTGTTATAAAAGGAGGTAGGGTGTGTATAGATCTGAATGGTGAAAGGGGGAATTCTTTAGGAGCTTCAAGGTTTAAGGCAGGGAGACCCATTATCTCCTCTGCTGTTTAACCTAGTGGCTGATGCTCTGTCCACTATGCTTTCTAGAGCTAGTGCTGCGGGGGTGATTCAAGGCCTTGTGCCAAATTTGATTGATGGAGGCCTGACACATCTACAGTATGCTGATGACGCTGTTATTTTTCTGAGTTTTTCTTCTGAGAACCTGTTGAATATAAGACTAATTCTTTCATGCTACGAGGCAATGTTTGGAATGAAAATCAACTTTGACAAAAGTGAGGTGTTCACCATGAGCCTCAATGAGGAGGAACAACAGGAAACAGTTAGAGTTCTTAACTGCAAACTTGGATCTTTCCCAATGAAATACTTAGGTATGCTTGTCAGTGACTGCAAGGTAACCAAGGCACAGTTGAAATATGTGAGTGACAAGACTGAGAAAAGGCTTGGGACCTGGCAGTGTGATTACCTATCATCTGGAGGGAAATCAGTGTTAATTGACTCATGTTTGTCTAGCATTCCCATGTACACAATGGGTGTATACCAATTGTATGAAGGCAACCATCAACTGCTTGACACTATTAGGTCGAGATTTTATTGGCAGGGTACTGGCAAGAAAAGAAAGTATCACATGATCAAGTGGGAAGCATTGAATAGACCAAAAGAAGTTGGAGGTCTGGGTTTTATGGATGTGAGAGCTATGAATATCAGCTTACTTGCCAAATGGATTGACAGATTAGAGAGGGGTGAACAATTTATGCTACTCTTTGCTAAGGAAGAAATATTTGGGTCAAAAAGGCATCTTTCAGATTAGAGGTAGACAGGGTTCCCAGTTTTGGAGGTCTTTGATAGACATACGAGAATGGTACCAGAGAGGTAGGATGATACAGGTGGTCAATGGTAGACAAACTAGATTTTGGCATGACTGTTGGCTTGGGGACTGCTCCTTGAAAGTCCTTTTTCACAACCTTTATTAGATTGCTGTTCAATCAGACATAGACATTTCACAAGCTTATACAGATGGACAGTGGAACATCCAATTCAGAAGACAACTTCATGAGGTGCTTATTGAGGAATGAGATCAGTTACAAGATATGTTGACTGAGGTTACATTGGAAGATAGAAGAGACATAGTATATTGGGCTCTAGAACAGTCTAAAAAATACTCAACTTGTTTGTTGTACAGGTTCATTACTTTTGGTGGGGTTAGAGACCAGTAGATGATGAATGTGTGGAAATGTAATATTTCTTTAAAGGTTAAAATCTTCATATGGATGGCTTCTCATGATAGAATCCAGTCAGGTGTCTAACTTAAGAAGAAACAATTGTCGGGTCCTGAAAAATGTGCTGCTTGTGATGTTCTGGAAACAACAGATCATATACTCTTTCAGTGCCTAATTGTCGTGTACCTCTGGACCTTTTTAAGGGTCGCATTAGGATGGCAAAGCTCACCAATCAGCTGTTCAAACTTTTTGTTGGAGTTTGTTGATGACTGCCGAGGAGCCAAACGCAAGGTAACACTCTTCATTTGTGCAGGCGCTCTATGGACAATCTGGAAGACAAGGAACGACATGGTAATCAACAAGAAGGTTCTCACTGCTCCTAAAGTGACCATTTTCAAGATTTTAATGCTGATCAAGTCATGGCGTCCACTCTAGAAGGCGAAGCTAGAGCCAACAGCGGAGGAGATGCTCAATCTGTTAACTGCTAATGCCCATTAGTTCTTTGTTGCTACCTAATGTAATACACGTTAAAGTTATTGGTTTCTTTCTAGGGAATGCCCTGCTGGGGTGTCGGTTTGCTGTCAAAACTTAGAGGGTTAGTAGAGATCAGGTTGAGAGAAAGTTGAGCTTTTGGTTATCTTCTCTCTCTTTTTTGTTCCTGCATTTGTTAAACTGGAATCCCCAGTGATGGGACTTGGGTGTTCAAGTTACGCTTTCTAATAAAGCTGGGTGAATACCTTTGGTCTAATATATATATATATATATATATATATATATATATATATATATATATATATATATATATATATATATATATATATATATATATATATATATATATATATATATATATTGGTGCATGCATTCTACTTTGAAATGTTCCTTTCTCTTTGGATCCATGGAGCCTTTCTTTTTCTCGATAACTTTTTCTCGTGTGTATATGCTTTTGTTTTCGTGAGAGTGATGCCAAGAAATAGGGCTGCTGCTAGCAGCAAGACGATGAGGGTTTTTGCAGCCACGTGTAGCGCTAGGTGTTTTAAGTTGCATATTATGTACACACTAGATACCATGTAGAAAGAGATAACAAAAAAACCACACACCCTTAAGGTTCGGTGACCTTCGATGGCTTGTGTTACAATAAGAATACAAAACAAGTCATAAGTCAAACTCTATCTCTAACAACTTATTATTAATTTCATACAATCATGTTTTGTTTACCTTTTGACACCTATATTTAATATGGCTGAAATCTAGGAGATTTTCAAGCAACAATATTCAACCATACTTAAAAATGGGTTGGGGCTGTCATTCAGTAAGCAAGGTGGCGATTGAAGCGACGTTGTGGAGCCACAATAAGTACACTTTGGCGAGCATGGACCGTAGAGGATTTCTGATAGGCTAGAAAACACTAAGGCAGAAAGCTTGTCGATGGCACAGACATAGCACGTGGGGGCAAACCTTATGACAAGAATACCACATGAATGAATGAAGGTAGGCTGACAAGCTATGTGTGTGTGGTGAAGTGGGGCAGTGACCCACCTAGGGTTTCCCATGCCGTAGCCTATTCTCCCTCCTCGTAGCTTCTCTGCAACCTCAACCTTCTTATGTCCATGAACGTATCTATGAGGGCTTCCTTTGACGGTAGTTGTCATCACAGCCCCTTGTGTTGTGCCCACCATCACCCATGGAAATCCTTCTTTCTCGTCCTTAGAGGCTTGGAGTCGCCCCTCCCCGATGCTTCCGTTGTCGAATTGGATGGTACCGTCGATGATGTTGGCGAGCCAACTTGATCGCTGTGAGGACCTTCCTAGATCTAGATATGGGGCTCCCCTCGATGGTCATCACGGTTGTCACCTCTCATTGCAGCATGAAGTTGCACACTTAGTGTGTGCCTCTCTGCTACCATCTATTAATGCTCCGCTTGTAGTTGCCGTCAACAAGCTTGGGAAGATGGTTCCCCATTGGCAACCGGGTCTCCCAAATATAGATCTAGGACCCATCGCCATAGTCACCTATTAGATCCTTTCGTGTTCGGTCTTCCCCACGCTGTCAATGGCCACCACAGCTATGGGTGATGGGGTGGTTGTCCAGGACTTCATTATGAAGCTCCCTCCCAGTATCTCCCTACCCATCTATGGCATGTCGTCTCTATCATAAGTGCTCCCTATGCCTAAAGTCCATTTGGCAATTGCAATGGAGGTCATTTGCCAACTTGTTAGGTGAGTGAGATGCAATTGCTCTCTATGATGAGCTCACATTATGTGAAGATCTTATGTCGTTGATTCCCTCTCTAGCTAGAGATTGTTGCAAGGGTGCCCATTGCCACTGCCATGGGTGCCCCTTTAGGTTGCCACACCCAAGCCCCGACAATAGTGTTCGCTCACCTTGTCCTCACATCTGCTTCTAATGTCATGGGGGTCGGGGGATTGATTTTGTTGGCTATTTTTCTGATCTCTTATGGTCACCAGTCAGTGTGGAACTCTGGATGGAACCCTAATGCTGGTAGAAGTAACTCCTAGTGT